TGGTACATAATGAGCATTTGAATCTGAAATCTGCTGGGATCTGAACTGTGAAGCTAGCCTGCTGTACATTATGCTGGAAGGGGAAGACAGTGCTAGATGTATTTAATTTGCCTTAGCATGAAATAAAATGGGTGCTGAAGAAAGGAAAAATCAGACAACCGTTCTTGTTCCTTTTAGTTAAATCAAACTCCTTACTGCAGCTCAGAAGCAGAGACCAGTCAGTGCTACTGTTGTTTCCTTTTGGGAAGCAGGCAGAATTTTTTTTCCCTCCTACCCTCTGGTCTTCACTGCAGATTAAAGTAATGGTTCGTCAGAGCAGACAGAAAGAAACAGAATGTGAGAGAAAAGTCATAAAGGGAGGAGTGAACCTAGTGATTGGTAGAAAAAGAATATGCACTTGTAGGCATGTTGATTTTAAGTACTATCCAACCAGACATCTAAGCCAACTGCTAATTCTGGTCTTATTAGGCCATGTCTACACTACACAGTTAAGTCAACTTAATTTATGTTGGCGTATAGCCGCTGCAGTAATTACATCGTTTGTGCACGTCTACGCTTTGCTTGTGTTGGTAGTGCGTGTCCTCACCAGGAATGCTTTTATTGATTGTACTATCAGTGTGTGGCATTGTGGGATGGCTCCTGAAAGCCAGTAATAATCAACATAAGCAACACAGTATCCACACTGACACTGTGTTGATGTGACTATATTGACCTTGACTCCACGCCACTCGTGGAGGTTCAGTTATTAAGTTGGCGTAGCCGGGCAGTTACATTGGCAGGAGCAAAATTTAAGTGTAGATGCTTCCATAGTTAGGTCGATGTAAGCTGCTTTGCATCAACCTAACTCTGTAGTGTAGACAAGACCTTACTTGACGAATGATATGCAGTCCCTTCTACAGTAGCCAGGTGGGCTGGAGTATAGTTTTGAGTTTGCCTTATCAGAAGGACTCTAGTATTTTAACTTCAGCAAGTCACTCTAGAGAGAGCCCCTCACACTCCAGACTTACCAACCCTAACCCGTGGAACTTGTACCATGATAACAGGAGTCAGACAGCTAACTTGGCAACACATTTACTGAATACAGAACTAACTCCATGATACTAGTGGAAGAATAGGAGAAGCGGATCTCAGAGGACGTGGCTGATGCATAAGCCAGTTTGATCCATTGATACTGTTCTAACCATGTCCGCAGCGAGTCACCTCCGACAGAGAGAATGCATCTAAGTAAAAAAAAAAGTTAAAAAAAAAAAAAGATTTGACCAAAGCGTATTGGTATCTCCATGGGAGACAGATTCTTGGTAGTCAGTGACTTTTCAATCTAGGAGAAAAAATTATAAGGCAATTCAATAGTTGGAAGCGGAAGTTAGACAAATTCAGGCTAGAAAGGAACAATTTTTTTATCAGGGAGGGTAATTAACCACTGGAACTATTTACCTAAAGGTGTGGTGGATTCTCCATCACTTGAAATCTTTAAATCAAGGCTAGATCTCTTTCTACAAGGTATGCGCTAGATGAAACAGACGTTAGGGGCTTGATACAGGAATTACTGGTGAAGTTCTGTGGCCTGTGAAGTACGTCAGACTAGAGGATCACAATGGTCCCTTTTAGCCTTAGAATCTGTGATCTATGAAAAAGCCAAATGAACAATGGGAAAGGAAATGATCATATAAACCTGGAAATGTATGAGGTAACATAGCTAACATCTGCTGCTTATTGCCTGAGAAGGTTTGGTTGTTAAAATCTGTAAGTTGATGCAAAAAGGGAGAGCATTTTTGAGGCGCAGGGTTGTGTAAAATGCAAGGCCATTTCTTTGCTCTCTATTGATACAATTTATTTGTTTGTAAATCCCGTTATGTTTGTAGATCCTTGTAGATCTCCAGTGGTTCCCCTTTCACTTCAGGACCCAGTCAAATATCACCTGCCATGCTTTTAAGATCCTTCCTGGACGTTTACGCTATCCCTTACGCACCTTAGGGACAGTTCTTCAATCTGCCTCGGTGGCAAGGGAATTCTGACCTCTCGCCTCACCTTTCTCCCCTGTTCACTCCTCCTTCCACTCAAAAACCCCTGGGCTCTGCATATAACTGCAAGATTTTTCCATAGGATCACCATAGCACCTGTCAACTTCTTGGGGGTCACCAAGTTGTTGTATTGCAGATGCTCTTGCTAGTTCTGGTTATTGGAACATATTCTAGTTAGCCCTCCAGAGATATGCTTATTGCAGCTCTCATGGGAAGCTCTGCATATCGCTACTCACGACCATTTACTTCCTTAGTCTTTGTCTCTGACTAAGATCCATTCTTAAGATGTAGCTGTAGCCTCCAGGTTATAGCCACTCATGTAAGTAAAACATTAGAGCATATATTACAGAATTTATCCTCTCAATAGCCCTGTGTGTTGGAGAAGAACTATTGCCTGCATTTGACAGAGGGAGGAACTGAGCCAACGATACACAGGAAGTCTGTAGTGGTGCTGGTAACAGAACCCTGTTCTCCTGTCAAGTATCAGAGGGGTAGCCATGTTAGTCTGAATCTGTAAAAAGCAACAGAGGGTCCTGTGACACCTTTAAGACTAACAGAAGTATTGGGAGCATAAGCTTTCGTGGTAGAGAA